AATTTCCTCTGAATACACTCCCACTGTGTTGATGAAACACACAGCTGTCCATACATTCGGAGCAGGCAGCCTCGTGTACCAGGGAAACAGGGTCACTTGTGTAGTCATCACTTCTTTCTCTTCAAGCTGTTTCAGTGGTTTTCTATATCTTTTCCTTCTGCTGAATATTTATATTGGATTTGATTATTATTACAGTAAGTAGTTACAAGTATGATTGATATTCAACAAATATTTGTAAAAAAGAATCGTGGTGCATTCAAAGGCATACAAAAGAACTTCAGTGCCATGGTTGATATATTATTTGACACTAAGTGTACATTTTGATGACCTCAGGTTTGACTTCAATGGAAAAACATATCATTCATTGCAGCATGGGAGTAACAGGAAACAGTGACTCAGGTCGTAGCTCAGCCTGAACACAGTACACAGAAACGAACAGCACATTCAGGTCTAATGGAGTTCCTGGAGCTGGAACAAGTGAGTTAAAAAGAAACGTCTGAAAAGGTTGCTGCCCAGACTGGAGTTTCTGCAGGACAAGAGTCAGTTTGTGAACAAAGGACTGATACCTGCATGAACTAGTTACTGTTAATATCACATACTGTCTTTGAGCATTGGTCTGACTTTTATGTGGCCCAAACAGAATTACATTCTCTTCTGCCTTTTTTTTCTCCCCACAGTCTCCATCAAAGCGGAGCTTGGACGGCATGCAAAGTTGTGAAATTTCTTCAGACAGTACTGATGATCCTCTTAGTAGCGGCATACGCACTCATCGGCAGCCTCGAATAGTAGTGATCGGCGCTGGCTTGGCAGGCCTCGCTGCAACTAAGGTCCTACTGCAAAACGGCTTCACAGATGTCACCGTTCTAGAGGCATCTGACCACATCGGTGGACGAGTTTGTAGCGTTCAGCACGGTGAGTGGGCGTGTCCCCATCTCTTTAAAGGAGAAATATCCTAGATATATACTGTTGCAACTCTTTTTTTTTCTAACTCAAAACTCCTAGATATATACTGCTGCAACTTTTTTTTCTAACTCAAACTATTCATTTGAATTTTCTTGCAGGAAAAGCAACTTTGGAGCTTGGAGCCACCTGGATCCATGGTGCCAATGGGAACCCAGTGTATCACCTGGCAGAGGAGAACAGGCTGCTGCAACACACCACAGATGAGGAGAGGAGTGTGGGACGCATCAGCCTGTACACCAAGAATGGCGTTCCTTACTACCAGACCAGTGGTGGGAAAAGGATTCCCAAGGACCTGGTGGAGGAGTTCAGTGACGTGTACAACAAGGTACAAACACAGTAACGGGATTGGGCCACAGCTGCAGCAGCTGAGTATTGGTTAAACAAACAAACATGCGATGGTGTCCAGAATCAGAATCTGAAACACTTGATTGATGCCCAGGGGGAAATGATTACTGTCAACAGTTTCTCATGTAGGAGCGTTCAATAATTATATTCAGACGTATATTCATCACCAGGGTAAATATATAGTTTTACTGTGTTTAGTGTAATGTACTCACATAGATGACTTCCTGTGGCGATCTGTAGCGCACCTTGGTGAAATAAGTCTATTGCTAAAGATGCCTTGCATACCGAATCATCTGTGCACGCGCACTTTCATCATTTCTAAGGGATAAACTCATGGCTACATTCCAGTGGTGGCCAGACCACAGAAGGAAGAAAGGAGCAGCGGCAGAAAGTTCACAGGAGTGACGTCTGCTCCGTACAGCTATACGACAGATCTCTAATCAACTACAACCTACAACCAACTGTAGGAGAAAGAGAAAATGCAAAGCAACAGAATAACATCATCAATAAATGCGTATTCTACAGAACACCTGCAGTTTGTTAAATGTTCCCTCTGGGCTGCAATGGAACAGAATGTTCTTGCATTGACTTTGGAATTTGTGGCCTATACAGTACATATATAATTTGGAATTTACTAACCTACTAAATGTAAGCGCAACTAAGAGAAAATGCAAAGCAACAGAATAACGTCATCAATAAATGCGTATTCATCTGCAGTTTGTTAAATGTTCCCTCTGGGCTGCAATGGAACAGAATGTTCTTGCATTGACTTTGGAATTTGTGGCCTATACAGTACATATATAATTTGGAATTTACTAACCTACTAAATGTAAGCGCAACTATTTAGGTTAATATGATTAAAAAATTGTATACAATAACTGGTTTTTACATTCTATTATTTGTATTGTTTTATTTTACTTCAATGTATATATTTTAATCTGTGCGCATTTTATATAATTTTTCATTGATTTCTTTTTAGCCCTAGTCCAGCACATCTCCTTTAAAAATGTCTTAGCTTCATGAATGTTCTATTTCTCATGTAATGTACTGACCCTTCAAACGAGCATCATTATTCAAACCCGTTGCCTGGAGGTGGTCCAGTGAATTGACCACTAAAGCGTGCTGACTTTAACAAACCATTTATCCAGCGCTCAGCTCTTCAGTACATCCTGTTATCCATCAACCAGGTCGGGGTTAACCCGTGTTACATGCTGTATATGGAATAAAGCTAGAGAAAAAAAAGAATGTGAACGTTAACTTGTCATGTGTGACTTCACAGGATTAGCTTTTCCCCTCATTCATTTGTCACTTTTAGACGCCAGCCACAGAACTCTGCCCTGAACTGAAATAAATGATTTCTTTGTTTCCTCTTTTTTTCCCCCCCCTGCTTGTACTTTCTCTTCTTCTTCTTCCACCTACATTTAGGTGTTTGAGTTGACTCAGGAATTTTTCCAGAACGGAAAGCCGGTTTGTCCTGAAAGCAAGAACAGTGTCGGCATCTTCACACGGAAGGAGATGTACGAAAGGCTCAATCTCAAGTTTGATGACAATGACAGTGGTGTCGCATTGCTCAAACGCTCCATGTTGCAACAGTACTTCAAGGTGTGTGTACGTGACACTGAAATGGACATGTTAGATTTTTGTAAAGTATTTTCTGTTATAATCAGCTTTACAGAGTAACCGACAATTAATACTGAAATGATTAGATTAGATTAACCTTTATGCATGAGTTTTATATGTCATTTATCTTTGTTCATACAAACTCTCCATCTATCTGTCCTGACTTGGCCCCCCTGTTCAATTTTAGGACCAATTGTGGCCAGCTAGTCAAAAAGTTTGCCCATGACTGGTCTAACCAAATTATGTTCCCATCTCAGGTGGAGAGTTGTGAAAGCAGCTCTGCCAGTATGGACGAGGTCTCTCTGAGTGAGTTTGGAGAGTGGGCGGAGATTCCGGGTGCACACTTTGTCATTCCTGACGGCTTCATGAAGATCGTCAAACTCCTGGCCCATGACATCCCGTCCAGCACCATCTGCCTTAACCAACCAGTTCGCTGCATCCACTGGAACGTCTCGGCGCAGCGTCAGGATGTGATCGTCGACACCGTCCAATACAACAACCACAATGCAAACAACTGCACCTGCCAGCCTGACCACAGACCTCACCGCCCTATTTACGTGGAGTGCGAAGACAAGGAGTGGATCGCCGCCGACCACGTCATCGTGACATCCTCTCTGGGCGTACTGAAGCAGAACCAGGAAACCATGTTCTCCCCGTCCCTACCTGACGACAAGAAGTTTGCCATTGAGAAGCTGGGCATCAGCACAACTGACAAGATCTTTCTAGAGTTTGAAGAGCCTTTCTGGAGCCCAGAGTGCAACAGTATCCAGTGTGTGTGGGAAGATGAGGCCGAGCTGGAGCAGCCAGTCTACCCTGAGGAGCTCTGGTACAAGAAGATCTGCAGCTTTGACGTCCTCTACCCCCCCGAGCGCTACGGCCACATGTTGAGTGGATGGATCTGTGGCCAGGAGGCGCTGTACATGGAGTGCTGCGACGACGAAACAGTGGCAGAGACCTGCACTGAGTTGCTTCGCCGGTTTACAGGTTAGTGTTGACATAAATGAACTGGACAGTACAGAAGTACTGGGTTACAGTAAATGTCAGCTGAACAGAAAGTGAGCAGAGCTTTTCAATTAAAAACACTGTTTCTGGTTTTCCAACATAAGGCTACTCAGTTTAAGTAGCACTTCCTCGCATTATTTTGAATGTTTCAATAGACACATTAACTCAACTCTTTTGCTTTTACACAATTCATGTCTTTTAAGGAGTTAGGGTTTCTTAAGGTTAAGGTTAGATTGTATGACAACGCCGTACGGTATGTTGAAATGACATCATTATGCAGCCCCCCCCGCCCCCATTTACATTCCCACTGACATATGTGACGATATTTATAGATTGTTTTTGCTTTTCACTCTGTTATTTGAGACGATTTATGTAATTGAAGTATGTCGTACTTCATCCATTTACTCACTGCGTGTTTATCCATCCACAGGGATTCCCGACATTCCAAAGCCCCGACGTGTCCTGCGCTCGTCATGGGGCAGCAATCCATACATCCTGGGCTCCTACTCCTTCACCAGCGTGGGCTCCAGTGGTGAGGACCGCGAGAGACTGGCCATGCCACTGCCCTATGCAAACAGCACCAAGGCTCCGGTATGAGAACATACTACAATAGGGACACAATGGCAATAAATGTCAGGAGTGGCAGGGAAGTAAATGAGGGTGGTGCAGTTCATATACAAGTAAACAAACAGTTGGGTTACAGTAGTTAGGTTGGGTGAGTGTGATTGAAGTTTGAATGTTCTCACCATGTGTGTGTGGGTTCTCTCCCGGTACCTGGTTAATTATTCACTCTTAACAGACCGCAGGCATGAATGTAAATGGTTGTTTGTCTCCAATGTGGCCATGGGAAAAGTCCAGTTTGTAGACAGTCCTTGCCCTGGGATTCGCACCAGTCACTTGTGACCCTGGAAGAATATAGTAGTGAAAAATAAAGGGAATAAAACAGTTAAGAATTCCCTGGACCTCATGACTTGGGTTTGAGTGAAAATCCAGACTGAAAATGTAGTGATCAGGGCCTAAACAGTTCAAACAAACCATGCCGTTAAAAATCTTTGTCAGTGGCGATCGACTCTGAAAGCTTTGGCTGCAGTGACCTCCTTCTCTATCAAACTGAAAGCAGTTAGTCAGAGGGAGAACAAACCAGGCCTTTCAAAGGGTTTCGTGTCCAACAGAACCCGAGCCTAAAGCTGTTACATAAGATGCACAGTTTCTTCTCCTGCCCTCCAGAGTAGAAACTGCTCAATTTTCTGATTCAACAAGTGTGCACCACACATCACCATTTGGACAAATTCAAATGAGACACAACATTACACGTTTGTGATGATTGGTAAAAATGTGACCACGCCGTAAACCGAAGGTCTCGACGCTCGACAAAGAGACAATGTATTTCGCCTAAATCTCGATAAGAATGTTTCACCGTGTTACAAACAAAAGAGTTTTTACTGTTTTTTTTTATCTCTTGCGTCTGTAGGAAAGACTGGATTTTTTTTCAAACTACTTTGACCAAACAGAAGAACCTGCTCTTAGGAAAACAGTTTGGCATTTTACTAATGCTGCCTCATTAAGGCAACACTGCTGCTTAAAATTACTTAAGTTTAAGTGATTTCCATGAATTAGATTAGAAGATATGTTGTTTTAATTGCATAGAATTAGCTGTAATTGTATTTACAGTAGGAGTAGAGCTACTTTATGGATGGCACTTTGTTGAATCGCTGTGGTTTTTCTTTCTCCTCATATTAGCACACACTCAATTTGGGCCAAACTGAAGTCTTTCTTATATTCTCCCTCATTATAAATCAATGAACTGAAGTCTTTCTTATATTCTCCCTCATGATAAATCAATGAAAATAAGAACTGTAACATCTAAAATCACAAACTGATGTTGCTAAATGTACATATTTTAATGTACCTTTGGTGAAAATACTACACTCTGAGTTGTTTACAATCCCTGAAGCACTGTGAGAGCATGTGGCTAATGTGACAGTGTCATCACTTCCATGTCACACCCCAGCTCCGGCAGAGTAAATACAGCTGGTGTCAGGGGGTAAGGAAGGCTGACTCCTGGCCCACAGTCTCAATCATGCAACCTGACGCCATCTGGGTGAAGAGGGGAGACTGGGGGGGACGGATTTTGGGGAGGGGGGTGTGAGTTGAGGTGGTGTTATGCTCACTTGACACCTCTGAAGGAACAGCACGACCCCTCTGCTGCTGGCCTTCAATCCTGTCAAACAGACAGTGTTCAGCCTCCAGGAAAACCAGTGCAGGCTGCTGCATGTGGAGCGCTAACAAGAGAAACAGTGATGGAAATAGAAGAAAGACATTTGAGCACAATAGGCCAAAAATAAAAATATGTCACGCAGGCATTGATGGATCTTGTTTTTAACCTGAGTTTTGCTTCATCCTCAGCCTCTGCAGGTCCTGTTTGCTGGAGAGGCCACACACAGAAAATACTATTCCACTACCCATGGTGCTTTGCTGTCAGGCGAGAGAGAAGCCACACGCCTGGTAGAGATGTACCAGGACCTGCACAGAGCTCAAACCACTAAGCCTAACATGTGATTCAGAACAGACCTCTGATTTACCATCAAGTGCGATGATAATTAACCTAGAAATAATGTTAAACTGCAGATTTTAATTTTAATCTTGATGATTTATCTTATACTGCCAAAAGTACTGGGCATTGTTATATTTAAAAAAAAAAAGTATTGTACTGTAGATGAAGTTAATCTAAACTACGTATATGGAACGTACAGTTCTTGAGGTGCCAATGATGCTGTGATTTCATGTCAGTCTTTTACACTTATGATGTTTTTTTTTCAATCACTTATTTAATGTTTATTACAATTGCTATAATTTAACTTGTTTTCATAAGTGCCTTCCTGTAACTTTACAACTTTACATTCTCAAAGTTTTAACAAAAATAAATGCATATCCTCAACAATCATCCTGGAACACACGGTCTATTTTACTATATTTCTATATTTGTTTTTGAAGAAGAAGAATCCTAAAACAAAAGTTTCTCATCAGCAAACCAGAGTTTCATGAAGATATGAAAAGCAAAAACAAATTTCCAATTCACAGTACGAGTGATTCCACATGATGTAAAAAAAAGACAAAAAAACCAAAACAGAACATTGCCACTGATGCTGTGCCAAAATGACAGACGGTGCTGAAACAGACCAGGATTTAGTTTCCACCTCTATTGGGCAACAATTTTAATCCTCTTTATCAGGTAGAAACAGAATCCGACCATGAAAAAAAAAACAGACCAATGGGAAAAAAGGGGGCGGGGTCACTAGGGGTCTCCAGTATCAGGTGGAGACCCTGCTGGCTAAGAACTGTCCATCTGTATTTGTTTCCCTTTGGGAGAAAATTAATTTTCTACTAATTTAAACATGACCTGAATTTCAATACCTTTGTGTTTTCCGATGTGTTCTATTAAAGCGAGCTCCTGCAGCACCAGGAGGTTTATTATTAATTTATTATTGTGCACTGTAAAACAGGCCCAAGTCTGTGTACTGGACTATGGCAGGCAGTAACGGTCAGAGTACGATCTACACAAACGGAAACTAATCTGACACCAGCATGAACTTTGGTATATTTGATGAAAATGTTAAACTGTAGTTAAAGTACGTTCATAATGAGCACATTTGTAGCTACATTTGTAGATTTAGTAACAGATCTAAATTTCATCCATTAATTTACAACAAGCTCAGTCCTAAAGGAAAACTCCTTCTCTATTATTTTTGTTTGTTTTTATTCTAATCTACTTCCGAGCCACAAACCTCTCTTTGCCTATGGGATTTTGAGAGATTTGCATTGTGGGTAATCTTACAAAACAATGTAAAAAAAAGGCAAGCTGGACCTGAGGCAGTTGGTGTGTTCACAGTGAGGTGATTTGAATGGAAGTCTTTGGGTTTATCCAAACCGTCCAGGGTGTGGCGTCAGTGTGACACCAGCTCCAGTTCCAGTCCAGCAACCCTGGAAAAAAAAGGAATAAAGTGGAAGAAGATGAATGAATGAATGAATGAGTGAACAAGTGGTCAGAGCCGATGATTCATTTCGAGCACACGCTCTAAATCTTCCTTTTTTTGGTGCATATGATGTTGTATTTGACTGAATCAACTTTGACTCAGATGTGACTTCACCTCAGCTTTCAGTGAAGTTGATTCATCAAATTTGTTGGAATGAGGAACAATGTGACTCATTGGGCTCCAGTGCTGACGTCCTCCTCCTCTTCCTCCCCCTCCTTCTTCCTCACTCACACATTTACAGAGCACGAAGGGGAAAGATGGGGACAAAGTCCTGGCCAGATTCCCAGAGTGCAGCACAAGTCAGGAACACGTGAGGCTGCAGCGGGGACTGAGGAAAGGTCTTCTGGGAGGTTGGGAACAGAATGCTGATGAATGAGAAAACACTGATTATGAGGATGGAAAAGGAGAATATATATATATATATATAAAAGTATATATGTACATGTATACATACATAAATACAATTAATATAATATATAATAATAAAAAATAAAACTGAGTGACTCCTTACCGTCCTAGTAGGGACACTTTTCACCCCAAGCCTGGTATATTGATCTGAAACTGTTAGGTCTGTTAGGTTAGTGTACAGTTGGCTTCACTCCAACATTTGCATGTGTTTTCAACTATGAAGAAAAACAACATGCAAACTCCGAACTAACAGACGAGGAGACTGAGCTAGGACACTACCTAGGACACTACCTTGTCACCTTTGTCCTGTCGACAACAGTCCTCACCGCTGGGCTGATTTAAAAAAACAAAAACAACAACAAAACAATTATGCACCGAATGTTTAAAAACCACTTGTGCCAATTAGATTCATTTAAATCAATTTTATTGATGACAACAAATGGGTGAAAATAAGTAGCAAAGAATTTCCATTAATTGCAGTCAAGGCTGTTCATCTTCGGGGATGTCGTCATTTTGTTGTAACCAGGATGAAGCTTCAACAACACATATATGTAAGGATGGTCATCGAAGATGAGAAGATGACAGACTGCACATGTAGTCACCCAGGTCAGGGTTGAGGTAATGTATATGAATGGACTGAAGTCAAACCATTCATAAACAACAGATGTAGAACCAACCAATCAAGTTGTGCAAATGAAACGCAGCGTTTCACGAGGAGCGGTGCTTCAGACTGAGTCAATAAATTAATAAGAAAGTCACATGATCCCGCACGAGGGGGGCCCGGGCAGAGATTAGAAACGCATGTGAAAACATGCCAAGATCCCCGGCTCCAGAGTTCACACAGGATCTGAAACCTCTCCAGCAGGTCCATGTTCACAACACAGCCGAGGTGTTACTGTTAGGAGCAACATCACGCATGAATAAATAACAGATACGAGGCCGAGAACAAGGTCATACTGACGGAGAACTTCCAAAAAAAAACAAAACAAAAAAAAACTCAGTATTTGTAAGTTACCAGTTAAGGTGGTAAACACAGTATACACTCAGTGGCCACTTCATTAGGGAGAGTATGTGAATACCGGGTTAGATCTTCTGCTGGCTGCACATCCATGCAGTGGTTTGGTGAGATGTTGTCGTCAAGGTAGTGGTTTTAAGTGCACTGTTATGCTCGTGGAGTAGCCGTCAGGTGATGTCACAGAAGGTGTCACCAACAATTCTCAGGCAGGTCGAGGCATTTGACCATGTCCAGTTTGTACCAAAGAATCCAAAGTGGGCCAAGAAAAAACTCCTTCTGGACGTGGACTGTGGGCCTGAAACAGGAAATAGGATGGATGACCGCAGTGATCCACCTTCTGGACGTGGACTGTGGGCCTGAAGCAGGAAATAGGATGGACCGCAGTGATCCTGACTCTTTAGATGATTAGGTTCTTTTTTGTCATTCTTCTACTGTCCAATCACAGTGCAGCCTGTGTGCACTCCACCCTTAGTGTTGTTTCCTTTCACTGACTCCAGACTTTGGTCGTTTCTTCTTCTTCTTCTTCTTCAGCTTCCTTCTTTGGTGTCAACCAGGAACCTCTGCTTCATATACAGATATATTTTTTGGTGTGATGAAAGGTCTGACTGAATCAGTAGTTTTTGAAATAGTCAAACCAGCGTCTCAGCCCCGGTTTAAGAGCCCTGGGATCACCTTTCTTGCGGCCTTGTTGGAGCATCAGCTGGTCGTCATGACAACGTCTTCGCTTTTAACTTCAATGTGGATTTGATGTTCATTTGAAGATGGTTTGGACTGAGTTACACCTAATGAAGTGACTAATAAGTGTATGTCACTGATACGTTCTCCAAAAATCACACCCTTGAAAAATCTTAACGTTGAGGTGTAAAGTTAATTTTTCCTACTTCACCAGTAGATGTCGCCAGGTATCCCGCTCACAGAATAAAAGTATCGATGACCGACAGGGCCGATAAAAGTGTTCAGGAAAAAAGTGCATATTTTGTCAAATACTGAGAAATAGCGAAACATTAAAAACAACACTTTCATAATAAACATCTGAATTATTCTTTTTCTTTTTTCTCACTAGTGCAACAACAGACGGCGTCAAATAAAGAGAAACATTATAAACCTGCAGGCATTCAAAGCTCTTTTAAACATCTAGTATTTTCTTGCCACAGTAGCAGAACAGTTAAGAAGGCAACTGAATGATTGATGCTTGAACACAAACATGCCAACATTATACACATAGCTCTTTTTTTATATAGAAATAAATAGCTGAATAATCATCTTTATCCTCTTAAATAATTTCCATCTCTATATGACTCAAATGCACAGTTAATATAAAGGATCTAGTACACAACTTCAATGTTCAACACTACTGGTATACATAATATAATTCTCTATAATTCCTTCATTCACCTTTGGAGAAAGAAAAACAGCCGACAGACGGAAGTTCTGCAAACTTCCACTGTGTCCACTTATATTAATGACCTTTATAATATATGTATATATATATATATACTCAAATATATATATACATATATAACATCAAATGTTGGTCCTCTTTTTTCTTATTTTTACAAACATGTACAGAGTAGCTGAGAGCGAAGGCAGGATTGTCTATAACTTAAAATCAACAAGTGCTTCTAGTCTTATTTGTTTTTACACCTTTGCCACTGTCCCCCGGGGATTTTTTTTCCCCCCCCCCCCACGTGTAGAGTAATACAAATAATAATAATAATAATAATGTGCTGAACAGGAGCAGGACAGGGAAATGCTCGACCACCACTGTTTTCAAGTATCATCCTCGAACATTTCTATGAAAACTCATTCATCTCCAGCGACTGCTCCCAGACTGGGAGCTGACGTGACAACCAGCCGCTCAGTATTCATGGAAACGTCACCTCACTCAGATGCACCGCGCTCTCATGAATTCTGATTTGTGGTGAATAAACAGTTGAGGTGTGCAGGGTAACATGAGCCACTTGTTAACATGTCCCCGGACAGCAGAGGTCATCCTGTCCCTGCTGCGTCCTTCATTTCACAAACACTGTGCATGATTTCTGAGGGTCTGCTTTTAAAGGAGCACTCTGACTATTTAGCACTGCATTTTCAAAAGGGAACACTGAGATTTAAAGGTAGAGTACGCAGGAGAGACTCGAAAAATTAACCAGGTTTACCAATTTAGTGCCTATCATTGGGCTGCGTATTAACTGCAGGTAATTCTGCTGATAGTGACCAAGGAGGTGGCAGTATTGCAAATCATAAGCAAAAGCATAAGCGTTTGTGCTGCCAAAAGCTAAATTAAACCACAAGTTTCCACAAGGTTAGTACAGTAATTGGACCTGTTCTACTGTAGTTAACAACTCGGTCAGAAACATCTATCAAGATATTCATATATGCAGTAAACAAGCACAAAATAGCCAAAAATAAAATAGTTTTTCTTATCCAAAAATTATTAGACTAAATTAGAAGTTACATTTCATAGTATTATATTTATTTTAAACATGGATGTACCAGCACACTGAACCAAACTGGACCAAGTTATTCCTAGTAGATTTTTAGCACCCTCTGCAGGAGTGAACCAAACTGGACCAAGTTATTCCTAATAGATTTTTAGCACCCTCTGTAGGAGGTAAAGGTAAAGAAAACTGCAGCATCTGTTTTTAGAAAACAACAAATGCAAATTTCTGCATACTTTACCTTTAAAATCTTGTTTACTACATACTTAATGTTTTGTTTTTTGTCAGTATTGACAAAGCTACCAGCGGTCACAGATGACGGGGGTACGACTCCAAACAGTAAAGGTCAGCACACTGTGATTCAGCACGTAAGTATTGCTGCTTATACATCTTGTTCATTCCTGCATTGTACGTCAAACTCAGTTGTTGTGCTAATTTAATTTAAAGCTGACAGTGGAAAGAATAGTTGAATGAGTTAAATGTTTTTGGTTTTTTTTAGTTTCCAGTGTCACTTCAGATTCCTTGGGCCAAATGAGGGCTGTGTAGGTGCCTAAAAGCACCAGCAGAGGGAGCCAAAGAACATGTACCGATAAACACACATACGAATGGTACAAAAGCTCCAACTGGACAACGAATGGCACTGTTCAGGTTATAGAGTATGAAAACAAAATTATTATAAATAAACAGTGTAACTTTGAGTTCAACCTCAGCGTCAGTTCGAGCTTCCTGCTTCCGTCGGGCTTTTGATCTTTCCCTGTTAATGGCACATTGGAGATGACGCTCACATGACAACACACACACACACACACACACACACACACCGTTTCAAGTGGCACTAGGTTTTTCTGGAAGAGGTGAACGACGGACACGTCCCCAGTGCTGCATCTGACTCTTTCAGACACATGACACAACGGTGCGTCCAATTCTGTGATATAAACCTGGACACATGGAAGCTGAGGGTTGTAGAAGAGACGGGACGCATCTGTGACTTGTCCGGGTCTGTATTCTTGCTTTTCAACCCACTTTCCTGCGCTACGTTTGCAAATGATGCAGCATGTTTGGAAGCGGTGACCAGCCGTCCACGGTTACATCTCACTGTACGGTTGTGCAGGACAGGCTGTTCCAACGCCGATTATTCTCAGCTCGTGTATTTACTCCCAACATAAAACTCCGGCGTCAAGACCCGTGCCCACAAAAAGCAGGTTTGATTCCCTACGCCAGCCACTTGTCACCATTATATGCGTTGCTGAAACTCTACTGGGGTTCTGAGGACCAAGCGTTTGACAGATGCAGGCTGTTGGTGTCAGAGCTGTTTGGCTGACGTCAGGTGTCGGAGGAAACGGTGTTCTGGCCTTGTGCAATGACCCGATGCATCTTTGTTGGTAAAAGAGAACAGGGTTGAAGAAAAACATCATGTCTGGGGTTTTTTTTTTTTTGAGTCTGTTGAAATCTGTTGATTTCTCAGGTACACGGTCAGGGTTGGTAAATACATTTCTGATTATTTTTCTGTTTTTAATTTAGACTTGATGAGTATGCAGATTGAGTTCTGGTCCTGGTTCATTATCGTGGCCGCCTGGTTTATGTATGCCGCCCCCAACTTTCTGAGCTGAAACAAAAAACCCAGCTGGACTGTTTTTTAAGAGTCTAAATGATCCAAGATGGCAGCTCACCGCGACGTCAAGAGTCTGGACCAAAGACGTTAGCAGATACTGTCTGCTTTCACGTGCAGGATTTTGGAGAAACCAGGTCTCTTTTTCAGAGCCTGTAAGAAAAGACGAGAAAAATGTGAGTTTAATTGAATGTTTTTGCATTTCCCTGAAAAGAAAACACCAACATGTCAGGCTGGGCGTGGAGAACCCCTACGTGGGCAGATGTAGTCTGAGGTATAGCTGCGTTTCAAGATAAAGACGCTACAGTCGGTAGCAACACAGGCAGAGTTTTACCAACCCGGGAAAACACCGGCAGTTAATTCACGATCGATGTGTAGACTCGCTCTAAGGTAGAGATAAAAATATACATTTAAATCCTCACAGTTACCTAACTGCTGTGAGACACTGAGAACTGAGTCCTGTAGTGACTCAACAAAACAAACATCAGGCCCTGCAGTGTTTTTTATTTTAATCTTCTGTTTGTTTGGTCATCTCAGAGAATGACCTGAGCCCCTGCTGGAGTGAGAGTGAAGCAGCAGCAGCAGCAGCAGCAGCAGCAGCAGCAGCAGCAGCAGAGTTTCCATCCGCTTCTACAGGGACTTTAAAAGTGAGTCATGTTCACAGCGTGAACGCTGAATAAAAATAAATGCTTAAACTTAAACTCTTTGTAACAATGAGCTCAGCCGTTAGTCACGTAAATATTCTAGAGCAGAAACTCAGAGGATCCGCAGCCTAAAAATAATAATAATAAAAAAAATCAGATACTGGCAGAGAAGTGATGGTGATTAACCGGGCTGCAGCGCTGAGCTGACTGGACATGGATTAATCACCTAATCAATCAGTTACTAATGAGTCAACGGTTACATTATTTTTATTATTTTTTCCCCCATTAAGATTGTTAAATGGCTGGTGAACTATATAAAACATAGAACTATTATATGTGATCGCCAATAGGAGGACAGATTTATGTGATTTTGGTCTTAACACAACAATATAAATGTAAGGTCAGAGGTCAAAAGGTCAGAGTTCCCTCCCATGTTTGTTGTTTTAAATTTCGGTGTGACCGAGTGTGACTTCACCTGCAGCTTGTTCACCATCTCATCAAACAGTTTTCTGGCTTCAGGACTGTTGGGGTCTTCAAAGTAGTCCTCGATACCGATCTGAACCACGATGGACTTCAGGTTACGACAAACACCTGCAGGAGTGGAGGGAGAACCAGTGGGAATTCACTTCAAATAAAATTTAAAAAATGCGAATCAGTGTTGACAGTTGAGTCCACCCACTGTTAAAGTGGAGCAAGGCTTTCGGGGTGACTGGTGTTGACGTCAGCACCAGCATCTCCAGACCCTTCAGACCTTCTCTGCAAACCTCTGCTGCCACCTCCTGGTTGATTTCACTCACATGGTCCAACTCCAGCACCTGCAGACGCATGCAGTTCCTCGCTGGGGTTTTTTAATCACGAGAGGAAATAAAGAGTCAAGTCGTTAGACATGAAGAATAATAATAATTTTGAGTCAAGTCGTTAGACATGAAGAATAACAATAATTAAAAAAAAAAATCCAAAACAACATTTTACTCATTAACATTTTACAGCTCGTTAAAAAGACGATTTTGTTAAACTAAATATATCAATTTTTTTTTGCTGTTTTTATGAGGTTATCTTTCTTTAAGCAAAGAAACAGTGCTGTCGATACAGCTCGTTAAAAAGACGATTTTGTTGAACTAAATATATCAATTATTTTTGCTGTTTTTATGAGGTTATTTTTTCTTCAAGCAAAGAAACAGTGCTGTCACATCTTCCATAATAATTTATTTTAACAAATTAACAAAAATTTACCCAGTGAGGCCAAACCCTGTATGCCACATCCAGCTCCTCCCACACCAAGGGCACGAAGGTGCGGCCAACATCTACCAATAGTCTGCAGACATCTGTTACTGAACCGTGCCGGCTGTTGACTGAAAGAACGGAAACAGAGAAAAGGAAAAAAGAAAAAAAAAATAACTGCTTTATATTATTTATATAGTTATAGAACACAAGGGGGCAACATTCAGCCTCAAGGCCAGACCCAGTCCTCTTACCAGCTTCATCTGTTCCCCTGTCAAAGTTACAGTACAAACTCCCCCCAACAGATTTAAAAATCGATAAAAGACAGCATTTTGAAGTCGCTCAGAAAAAATCTGTTGCTATTTTGCAGCGAAATGTGTGATTTATAAATGTTTTGGAGTAAAACATTTTGGTACCTTTGGTTGTGAACCACCTTATCAGCTTTACTGAAAACTACAGCACAAATCAAACCAACTCTGATTCGATCCAAGGTCAAGCACACGACAGACACAGAGAAAAATGGGAACAGGAAATGAACAGCATCTACAACAGGAAATGGCTAGATTTTCACTGAGGCTTGTAGTACTGTAGTACTTCAGTGTGTATTTCCCTTCTGGTCTTGTCTAAAACTGTCACACCACATGCTGTGTTGTAGAGATGCGATTTATCCCTAGTGCGTTACCAAGGGTGTAGAGGCGCCACCTGTAGGGAGATGATATCCCTACAACCTGCTCCGAGAGCCCAGATCACCTCCTGGCCCACAGGGTCTGTGGCACTTCTGGAATAAAACAAATAATAGATGAAATAAACCTACGTGAAAACTGAATTCTTCAATAATAATAAAAAAAGAATCTGCATTTTAATTCTAAAACAGCTGACAACTCTGTCAGTTCTCCACCTGTAGGTGACCGCCTGCAGGGCTCGGCAGTAGCAGCTCGCCAGCCAGAGCGAGCGGTCGGTCAGCAGGTTGGGGCAGTGTGAAATCTTCAGTATCAGCAGGTTGCTTCCTGTGGCCTTTAAGAGCGCCTCCAGACCCTCCTCCAGGCAGCCACTTAGAGGGAGATGTGAGAGAAGGTCAGAGGAAAAGTACAGTAATTCTCCTGTCCTTCCTTAAAGCACTTTAGAGCAGAGAACAAAATGTCCCTGTTCCAGGTCCGTGGCCCGTGTAGTGTATGCACAAAAAATAATAGAAAACCATCTTTGAGCTCAAACATACGCTGTCCCTCCAAGTGCAGGAAGTACGACAATCTTCAGGACCTCTCTGTCTCTTGGTCTAAACCTGTCTTATGTCTGGACATTTCATTCCATTTGTTCCTTTACTTGTTGTTACTCATCCAGATCAATTGGAATATATGAAATAAGTGAAGGGCAACTCTGTCTCATACGGATGTGCTGAACTATTTTTATCAAGAGAGAGAAATAAAAAAAAGGTCAACAGAAAATACAGCAAATTCCACATAAAAGTAAAGTAAAAGTAAAGGTGATAAAAAAAGTGAGAAACTTTAGAACTTCAAAGCACAGATTAAACTGACCAAAAAATAAAAGAGCACAAAATATGGAAAAAGTTTTTTAAATATAAGACCAAAAATATTTTAAATTTATACAAAAAAAATTAAAAGAAAAAATTAAACAAAGCATACAACTAGCCAAAAAGGTTCAGTTAACATCAAAATCAAATATCGACAGCCGGTCATAAAATTGTCTGGACATGAGCTGAAAAGTAAAATAAAATATTTCTACCCTGCTGGTGAACCACTGAAACTACAGTCAGATTCATTGGCGTCTCACCGTGTGCTTTTGAGATAATCCTCCTTGCTTTCCTTCTTGCCTCGTTGTCTGGGTTTGAGATTTTGCAGAATGAGCGAGTGCGTCTGCGTGCACCACTGAGACAGGGTGCAGAGAAACTGAGGCAGAAACACAGGGTCAGGAGAAGGACAACAGTGAATGGACCGCATGCTACTGAGCTGGGGGAGAGAGGGGGCGGGGTGGAGGGGGGTGTTCACCTTGGAAGAAATGCGAGCGTTCTCCAGGAGCACTCTGGTCCACACAGCCGGGTGACGGGCCACAAACTTCCAGTCGCGGCAGACCTCCGCGGCCCTCAGCAGGGTTTTGGTGTCCAGGTAGGTGAAGATACAGAAGAGAGCTGCACGCATCTTCAGGATCTCTGGACTGATCACCTCGTTCGATTTGGACGGGCTCTTTTCATGACGACATGGTTTACTGTAGCCTTCTGAACATCCTGGGGATGAAAAAAAACAAAAAACAACTTTATCACTTTACAGCAGACATAGTCAAACTATGGTTCGTGGACCAGATAAGACACAATGGGCCCATGAAATATTGGTACCAATTTGTCCAACTGTGGTTCCATAGTGTAGTGGTTGTTATGCCTGCCTTACACGCAGAAGGTCCAGGGCTTAAGCCCCCGAGGAACCACATGATGAATTGCGCCTCCCCTGGCAGCTTGTCTGAGTTGCAGAAACTCCCAGTTTGAATTTTCCCCGTTGTGAGACGAATAAACATTTAAAAACATTTTACTATAAACATATCAGTAGGTATGATATCAGAAGTTACCATATCAGGACGTTCTGAACCTTTTCATTCATGTCTGTCTGTTGCAGATATTGTTTCCCAGCACAGTGAACAGATTGGCCACACGGTGTCACCAACAGAGAAGCGTTAGCTGACGACCGTGATCAGTCTGAAGCCACTTTTCTACCCTTAGCTAGAGCTGCTCCTCCATGACTCATCTTTAGCCTTGGACGGCGTCTGCACGATGCCATCAGGGCTATGAACCATCGTCTAGTTCTCTCCTTCACTTTCTCTCACACGCCACCTACGCTCAAGACTGCAAAATGAACTAAAGAAGCCAAGTTGTGTGAAAACTGTGCGCCTGTTGATACGTTCCATCTGATAGAGCCTGGCACTGAGTCAGCCAATAAGGAGATCGACGTCAGAGCCTGAGAACCAGCAGTAACATGTCGGGTGTTACGTGAGGAAAGGTTGAGAAAACGGGTTAGTTATAGCAGATACGGTGTGAATGTGACACAGGGCTCTGGCCCAGTTACACCAACAGCAGGTGGAGGAAATAAGGAGAGCGACAGCAGCAGTGCGTTTAGGGAATTTGGCAGAGCAGGAAGTTAACAGACAGACGTGCAATCTGTGGTGGAGCGAAAGAAAAGAGTGGCCGTCTACGTCGGCTCGAGGCTGTTGAAGTGTCGGCCGGAGAACGGCGTGACATGAGGCAACGCAGGGAAAATGACAGTACGGTACTGTACGGTATGTCAGGAGAGATAGGACGCTGGTTCTCAAACTATGGGGCGTGTGCCAATGGTGGTACCTGACCCAAGTCTCTGTAATATAACATACACTAACAGTATAGAAGTAGGCAATATATCTGTAACAGTACAGTATGTACACTGTGTATTTGTACATAAACTATTGTAGTTATCTGTGTTTAAATACTACACTGTATAAACGACACTATAATACTATAATAGTAATAATAGCTGTGGCCTCTTCCTCCTCAGTCCTCCATCAGCTCCACTCTCCTGTTCCTCAGTCAGAGCTCCAGTGTCTACACCTCCATCTGACCTGAATCCAGGCAGTCGAGTCACAGCTGTTAAAAACACACTCTGATCCAGTGAATCCTGGCGTCAGTGCGTCTAAACCACCGACGGACGACAGTCCAGGACGTTCAGTTTGAGGAGTTGAACCCTTGAGTTCCTTACCTACGTTTGGTCGGTATCCTGCCCTGCCGTGGTGGTGATAAGGCGGGGCAGACTGCTGGACCTCGGCCACGGCTCTCCTCTCCTGCTCCCACATCTCCACCTCAGACTCCGTTGTCCTGGAGCCCACGTCCGACACGTCCCCCTCCTCCCCCTCAGTGCTGTTGCGGTAAGGCCGCCGCTGCCAGTTTTGGATGGCCTGTTTTCGGAGGCCCCAGTTTCTCGAGCCACATCCAGGCGAGCGCTCGTAGCCGCCCTCGCTGAGCCGACACTGCATGTGGTAGTACTGAGCCTCGGGGCAGTCGTCCATGGGATGCATCTCCACACTGTCACTGTCGTAACCGCCAGATCCCTGGGACACGGACTTGATCCTCCCTGACGCCCTGCAGCAGACGGAGGAACCCAGTAAAACAAACAGCTGTACTCTGTTATTTGTTTATCTATTTTTTTTTTAAATTATTTCCTGATATCTGATTTTTTTCTTGAAGAAATATTTAATTATAATTATTTTTAATTTTTTTTTTTTTTGCTATAAATTATATGAATTGTGTCCAAATCTTAAAAAACACCAGAAACATCTTGAGGTTTGAAAAACCCACTGAGTTGTTTGGTTGAAGGAGAGCAGATGGGTTTCAGAGCCTTTGTTTGTATGTACTGTAATAGTACTTAGGGAATAATAATAAAAAAAAATACACCGGGCTAATGAGTAGTTGCACATATGAGTGTCTGAAAAAGTAGGACACTTCTGTCTTTCTTCTCGCTGCTCAAACCTTTTCCCTCATCGTGGATTCGGAGCCAAATGGAATAAAAAGTAAAAGGAAACTGCAGAAAAGTCCTGAAGCCAAGATTTACAGATGATCAGACGGAAAAACCAAAAGAACGTTAACCCAAAGATGTTGAGTCGTTCAAACCCAAAAAAAATATTTTTTAAAGGTTTTTTTTACCAACGTCAAACTCCTCTGTATCATCTGATAATGTTTAAATATCCACTGATGACAACATGTCAATAAAATGATTCCATTCAATCTTCAACTTCAATGTTGACACTGAAACTTTAAGGAAGTGAAATTATTTAGACATCTTGAGGTTTGAATGAACACAGTTCTAGTGTAAAGTTTGAAGACTCACTCTGTCTCTAGGTGTGTGTGTGCGTGTTCGTGTGTGTGTGTGTGTGTGTATATTTTCTACCAGCCGTGACTCAGCGGGGAAGACCTGATGGCTGAGCTGTGACGTCACATGAGAAAACACAGTCACACACCAACTGGGGATGACAGTTGTGTTACTCAGAATATTCCGGAGCTGCCATGTGTCAGGAATCACCAGCAGAGAGACAGAAATAGAGCTGTCGCAACCTGAGGTCCAATCTGGGACTCAGAGCCGTCAACTACTGCATTACACACGTGATCATGTTGATTAAATAGAATTAATGAATGATGGTGGATGGCTGTGGTTCTCAACCTGTGGTTCTCAACCTGCGGTTCTCAACCTGTGGTTCACAAAATTTTCCTCCGTTGCCCCTCTTCTGTAGCTAGGATTATTGTACAGCCTCCTCACCTCCTCCTCCATATCTACACAGTTTGGCCCTTCGTCATCACCGCAATTACTCCGTGCCCCCTGGTGGGGCCTAAGAGGAACAGCAGAGCAGCCAATGACTTTAAATTGAAGATTGAAAAAACTGTATCTACTGTGTAATAAAAACACATTAGCATCGATTAAGTTCTTGTCAACAACTTAAGCAAAAACCACACCATAAAAAGAAAATATGACAAAGTGGCTAAATGGGTTTAATATGAGTTAAAAAATGTACAAAATTGTATTAAAGTTTGTAGCACAAGCAAATAAAGCAGTGACAGAAATAAACACAATTAAACAAAATTTTTTATATAATAATATTTTCCAGTAATACATTACTCTGAACCATGTGGATGAAATCTTGTTCTTACATTTACATTTCTCCAGTTTCAGTTTAAAGAGAACCAAGAATGAACAGAACATTAAAGAAATAAGAAGGGTCCAAAGCACTGCAGCCAGTATCTCACCTTTCACTGCACCAAAAGTGTGTGATTCCGGGTGAACTGTG